CACACACACACACATGCAGGTTTTCACACGGCAACACCTGCATGGAACATGCACAGACTCTCTCTCTCTCTCTCTCACACACACACACACACACACACACACACAGAGAGAGAAGTGACCTCTTTCACACACAAGTGCATGCACACATGTCCGCACGTGTACACATGCATGAAGACACAGCTACAGCAGGAAAGTCCCACAGTGCTGGCGAAGTCTGGTGCATTACTTCATATGTGCCTATATAGGCAGGACACAGGCACTTTCTTGTCCGTGCCTGCATAAGTCAACAGCCACATCATTTGGTCCTTCTACCTGAGGCAGGGCTACACCATGCAACTCGTTCAGCGAGTCATGCAGCAGATGATGAGTTGAGTACGTCTCTGTTATGCCCCAACCATAAGACTTTTGCATCATCAACACAACACCTTAAACACTACACATGATGAGTCGAGGCTTTAACAATTACAGTCAACTCCAACCGACCGAGCACTCTCTGTCACCACAGTCCAAGTCGACAGCTATGCTCAACGTTGCCTCCTCTCTCTCTACTTATACGACTCTCATCCATTCCCAAAAAGCGACCACCTGCCCCTCGGCCACTCCGCTTTCCGCTCTTCTCTATCTCGTTCTGCACAGCTTCGCTTCCAACAAATTTACTCTTATCATGGTTGAAGCCCCTCCCACCCACCCACCCACCACCACCAATCCACCCGCCACCTTCCCTCCCTCCCTCCCTCCCTCCCGTCGAAGCTCTCCCAGCTGTCGTGGCATCATTTTTCCACACCAACCAACAAAACAAACAAACAATGGCTTCGGAAAAAAAAAAAAAAAAAAGCCTATGGAACCAAACTATAACTCAGGTTACCTGAATAAAGTCCACTTCCCCAGGAGTTACAATGAAAACCCGCTATACACAGCGGCAGAGAGGCAGCATCAACACTTGCTCATTCTGTCCGCTTGGCCCAAGGATAAGCATAGATCAATCAACAATGCACAGACATTAGCACCCGTGCAAGCATACGAATATATCGATCTACTTGCCATGCACTGTTCGCAAGCTGGCCATCGATTTGCCGCATGCTGCCGTCAACTGCTTCAAGAAATAGGTCCGCATTCCGGAGGAGAAGGCTTGAGGCCTCGTCCGGATCACTCGATAACATTACCTCTGCGCGCCTCTGCTGCTCAACAATATTGGCGATTCCATCGATTGATACACGCATGACTACGCCACCATCTTGCGCCCAGATAAATCCAATTGCTATGGCATCCGCCGCGCTCTGTACGCCTCCGCTGCTCAACAATTTTGGCGATTCATCAATTCATACACACGCATGACTACACCACCAGCTTGCTCCAAGCGAATTCCCAATTGCTATGGCATCTGCCGCACTCCGTACGCCTTCTGCACTCGTTCACAAGGTCGGCACAGTCTTCCTCCATTGTGCGATGGTAAGATGGGGCAAAGCCCTCTCTCGCCATTGAACCCAAGCGATCGGCGGCTTCGGACCTACCCGCTCCTACTCCCCGTCCCCAGCACGTGGTTTTCGTCCCTGCATGGCGGTTCGAACAAAACACTCCCCACAGATCCGCGCAGAGCAAATTGCTTAACTGGGCGTATTTTTCCGCGTATTTTTCCACTCGCCACGGTGTGTATTACGTACCTCGCAGGCCACCTTTAGGCTACAGGGCAAGGCAAAACTACGACAGCAAGCTCAAGCAGAATAAGAGACAGGAAGAAATATAGAGGCGGAAGAGCACAACAAAGTAGGCCCGAGACTCCGATAATCAACCGCAAGCAAAAAAAAAGGAAAAACAAAAAAGGAAAAAAAAAAAGGAAAAAAAAAGGGGCATCTGCTTGACCCTTGTACCATCCTTTGTTGCACGCTGCACAAGCCTCCTCCGATTGTTATACACATAGCAATGGCCAATGTACATCAAACCAGAAAACAGCCATGGCTAAACCCTTCATAGTTAGGTTTAGGGTTTATCCCACACATACCCAATTCCGACGCCTCTTCATCGTGTTGTTCCAACGGAGCCTCCCGCCGCCTTTTTCCCACTTCAGGCCAGACACCCGACGCCCGAGCTGCCTGCCCACTTGTTCATCAAACAGTACCAATAAATGGAATCCCATCCGATCCTCCTTACCCCCTCCCACTCCTTCCCCTACGGAGGGGGCACCCATACCTTCCTCGTAGTCCGTCCGTGTCGGCAGCCAAGTCATCCATTCATGTCTCTATGCTGCAGAAAACCAGAACGGTAGAATACGCGAGCCTCAGAACTTTCCTTCTCCAGGGTATGCATAGCCTGAAGCTGGTGCGCGTGCACAGCCTTCAAGTGAACCCTTGCCCCTCGAGTTATTTTGACGAGGGTCGTTGCCCGAGATGGAAAGCCGTTTCCGTGCTGTCTGTGCTCTCGACACCGCAATTCACCACCCTGCACCGAAGATGCCAATGCCAAGGGAAGCAGCGCCTTCTCGTGAATTTTCCCTTCCCTTCCCTTCCCTTCCCCCCTCGAGTCCTTGGAAATTAACCCTAGTACGAACCATATTCTCTCTCTTTCTCTCTAGTAGGGACACACTGGCAAAAGGAGTGAGCTGCTCCTCCTTCAACACAAAACACCGAAAAGTACGGCACAGCCATGCGGAAATGTAGCAGCGACAACTTGACTCCCACCTTGTCCTCTCGCCTGTTCACAAAGCAGGCCTCCGGGTAGAGCACCGCTTCCATTGTCTCCTCCCGGGTCCGATCAAGCATCCCTGCTGCCTTTATGCAATAGCAATTATAGCATAGATCGTTTTGCACCCTCATCCATAGCCACCAGTCTTTCCGCCGCTCTCATACCCTACCTCTCTGCGGCATTCCACCCCCAGCAATTGCATGTGGCGGAGTGTGGCCCATGTTATGATGATCCCTCGCAACGGGTCCGCCCGGGTACGGTGATCGTGGGCCCGGCCCAGGTGGCTTCCTATACTGCCCCTCTCTTGGATACCCTGGTCGGTCTGGGATTGACGGCATCAAGTTTGCATAGTCTGTCAAATCTTGCAGCGTGCTCAGCGTCAAAACCACGTCGCACATTTGCGGCCTCATCCGAGGATCTCTGCTCAGACAATGCTGCGCCAACGTCGCCGCTTTCTGTGCGCCCTTCACCGAATACTGCCCCTCTAATCTCGGGTCCATGAGCCGGAACAGCCTCCTCTTTTCTTGGATCAGGGGCTTTGCCTGTGCATTTCCAATATATCCCAATTCCCCCGTTTCATCCACCGTCACACTCCAACATCCACAGTCACATTTGTGGATGCACACCGCCACCCACGAAACCCAACACCCAGACAGCCACACACCAAGCACAGGGACACAATGACGTCCAGGCCACACGCACGTCAGCTCCCACAGCAATTATTTCTTCGGAGCACAAGCCATCTGTGAGGAACAAGCCCTCAAGGGGTCTTATCAGACAGCACATTGTTCTGGGTTAAGGCCCCCAGCAAGCCAAAGTGCCCGCCCTAAGTGAAGGGGGGACTGAATATTCGTCAGAGGCAAAATTCAACATTTCCATATGTGGGTATTCAGGCTCTCGCAGCACGCCAGTTGGTTGGGTAGACGTGTGAGCCTCACATTTCTGCGCCGTACAGTTTGCCCAGGCCTTAACAGTTGCGCCTGGGCACACATACACAAAGCAGGGCCGATACATTGGGAAGCAGCACGCACCTGCCTGGGAGCCCTGCACAGATGCAGCAAACAGCCCAAGTCCAGAGACTCAGGCCGTGCCTAACTGTAAAGGGCCCAGGCCCTCAACTGTAGTCTTGGGCCTGGGCGCAGGGTCTGGGACCCAACCGGACGCTACTGGAAGCTTCCAGCCAGGCCACACGCAGCATCCAGGAGGCCGCCACTTCCACAAAAGGAGTGAGGCAGCCCAGGCCAGGCATTCTGGCCAGTGCTGGCAATGCGGAAGTGCTGCTGCGCTCTCGCTTGATGCTGCGTAGCTGCCAAGGGCGCTGAAGGGGCGCGTAGAGGTGACGTGGGACGCTGCAGGGCAGCGGGGCGCAGGCGGCCATAGCCGGGCTGCTGGGCGCCAGGGCGTAAGCGGGCGATTGCGTGGTCTTCAAAGAAGGCGGCGAGTGTGGGGTAATCAAGGTCTGATTGAGGGTGACGAGATACGTACCTGGTACACGAAAAGAGGTCGGCGATGGTGTTGGCAGTCATGTACATTGGTCTTCATGAGTCGAAGTGATCCTGTGAACCAGCTTTAGGTAGGATAGTCGGGTAGAGTAGGATGGGCGCTGAGCGCCAGACAGAGCAGAGCGACTTTGGATACTGTGTTGGTGTGGCCTACGGGCTTGCACATTGGCTCATTACTTCATTGTATTGCTCTATATGGATGGTCTTCTCGGTGCATTTGTACTCTCTGCTTGGGACACGACTACTCAGACAGCTGTGTGATTTCGCAATTTGGTTTTATGTATAGCGCTCACACTCATAATCCTTGCACATCAATGAGCTACGAGTTTTTCGCCTGGTGCACAGGACCTGCCTCAAGCAAGAAGTCACATCAACCAACAACAGACTCACAAGCAGATGCAGTGGACTCGACGGTGTCCCTTTTGTGTTCCACAATCATGCAAGGACTGGTCCTCCGATATCTCTACCGCGACAGCTCAAGATCGCCCTTAGAAACGCAACGAACCGATCTAACGATTAATTCTTCCCCCGCGGCCCCCCGCCCCCACACCCCTATATGCATCATGCTTCCGTATTAGGCTTCAATCATTTCAGAACAAAATACTTAAGAAGGCAAAAATAAAAGGGGGGGAAGGGGGGAACGGGGGCGGGAAGGGGGAGAACTAAAAGTTCTAAGCCAACCAATGAAGATTATAAATGTGGCTCGACGGTACGCATAGGAAGTAGATCTCCCCACACTTAACTATACACAGGACCTACCTGCAATTAGAAACACCCAACCTCACCACACATCACCGTGAAGTCACCCGTTCCGACCCATTCCGCCAACATCACCTGCACTCGCCAACACCCCCGTCTGCCCCAAACTCCACTCGCGTCCATTCAATCAAATTGGACCTTCTGAAGAAGAAAAAATGTTCCTTTTTTTTTTCCCCCCCTTTCACCCTGTCTATTATACCCAACTAAAACAGTAGAAGGAAAACAGGTCCGCAGTGTGTTCCACAAAGGGAACAATGACCACATTTCCAAACCACCGGGGACGCACGGTGCACAATCTTTTAGAAACGTTCTACAGAATACGGTATAAAAAACCATTGTGGGATTCCCCGCAACTCCTCCCTCAAGACTCCAACATCACCAAGAACACACGACTGCAATGCTTGATTGAGAAATCCGAGCTCCCGCAATGCAGCATCGTTTACAGAATTCAGGATCGTCTCGGACTTCTCCGCTTAAACTCTAATATCATTAAAAATGTCGCACTGAGATTCTCGATTCAAAAATCCAAGCTGGTCAGGGGGGGGGGGAGAAGGGAAGGGAATACAGAGCTGAGGTCGAACTCCACTTGAAGCAGCCAAGTACAATACCAGAGTTTTCAATTACCTTAAACCGCAAGTACACGGCCCCAGCCTTGCAGAAAGTTTTTGTCGCCACAAGCAAAACTCAGACCGCACAGTGTGGGGCACCGTAAAAAAAAATAAAAATTGGTGGCCTCCGAAACGGTGCGGGTTTCATGCTGACACCCATGGGCCGATGTCAGGTGTACTGGTGCTTTAACGCCGGTCTATTAGATGATTATATATCTCAAGGTCATCGTCCTTTTCGATAAAAGAAGAAGAGGAAACGTAACGCACGACCTTATCATCGCAGATGGCATGAAAGAAGAAATAATCACATGCAAATATCCGCAACGGGAAGATGGCACAACTCAACGAAAATTACAAAATGCCTGAGAAGCATTTTGTTGTTTTTGAGTTCGCCAGGAACGGAGCGGATCTCGTGGTCCCCACAAACCGCCAAATGCATCTCTGCAACAATCAACAAGGGGATGGGTGTTCATCTGGAAGAACCAGGCTGGGAACGGCACTATAAAGGCGATAACATCCACAAAACGACTGACATTTTTCAACCAGCGGACAGGAGGTGGCAGGCAGGGTTTTGAGGGATCAGGGAGAGCGCCAGGCAACCCTGAACCGAAAACCAACTTTCATTCCTTGGGACAGCTCCAGAGTTGTTCCTTGGGACATCGGTCAAAATGGAACGGTACAAAGAAGATTAGCACGGTCCTTGAGCAAGGATAACCCTCGTTAAGAAAAAGAAAAAAGAAAAAAAAAAAAAAAAAGATGAAAAAAAAAGGAAATGCCTCCAGAGTAGTCAGCGAAGAAAAGGCCAGAGAATACCGTCTCGGGGTTGCAGACACAAAAATCGTGGAACAGATAGAATAAGGGACACCTCAAGGAACCAATGTAAATCAGAACTCGTCGGGGACACAGGAGTACATGCATCAACGAACACCGGGAGACGAAACAAAAAACTGGCCATACGAGGGCACAGAAATGCTCACCAAGCTGGAAAAAAAAAATACGCTCCAAAAAAAAAAGAAGAAAAAAAGGTGCGTTTGAACACAAAATGGCACAGGAGAAACAGATAGAATAAGGGACACCTCGAGGAACCAATGAAAATCTGAGCTCCGCGGGCACACAGGAGTACATGCGTCAACGAACACCGGAAGACGAAACAAAACACTGGCCATAAGAAGAGGGCTCAGAAAAGCTTACCAAGCTGGAAAAAAAAAATACGCTCGAAAAAAGAAAAAAAGAAAAAGTGCGTTTGAACACAAAATGGCACAGGAGAACGGAGGATCACGCCCCAAGGGGAAGGTAAACCGGCCACACAAAGGCACGCATAAAGCAGCCAACGACTTCCGCGGTGCAGCGAGCTTCCACTGAAAACAATCCGACCGGCTCAGAAAAAAGTCCAAGCAAGTCTTCTCAAAGCAGCAGCATGGAATCCTACAAAAACCACCGATCGCTCTACTCGCTCCGTAACTACATTAAAAAAAAAAGGTACAAAGTGAGCGACTACTGTGTGGATGTACGCCCCCAACATCATCAATGGCCGAAGATCGGATCCCGACCAAGTGCACGCTGATGGAGAATGAACTGACGAGCTCACGCCATCATGATTCTCGGCTGGATTATAAATGGGATAGGGAACGCTCCAAGCCAAAGAATACAAAGTTATTACAAACTGAATGGCCTCATTCTAGTCTGAAAACAACCACACCAAGGTAGTTGACATGCAGACCGACGAAGGGTTTTCGTTTGAAAAAAAAAAAAAAAGCAGACACTATGCTGTTGCAGCAAACACACATCAACTCCTTTCTCGACCCTTTAGCCAAGTAAGATCAAGTGTAGAGTCCGTGTTCCGATCAGTTTCATAACCGATCCGTGGTCCATCGCGACGAAAAAACACACATGACTCAATCAGACGAACACTTTCAAACTTCATCGAGCATTCAGACGTAAGACCGCAAAATAAATCAAAGTGGTGATTAGCTTCGACTCACTACTCAACCCTACCAGCTAGTATCCAACACAACTAACGTGTTGGGTACACGGAGCCAGACATTCACGTCGCTGTGAGGAAGACCTTGAGTGCTTGACCAATCAAATCATATAGGCCGCTAGTTTGCCGAATGCTCAAGCAGCTGCTAACTTACGCTTCACCCACATTGTGTGCCAGGAAGACCACGACCTAACAACTCCAATAGCTGCAAGGAAGACCACATGACCTAACAACAATAGGGGCAGGGAAAATTCCACCCTCGCCGCTAAAGGTAACCCTTGAGCCGAATAAAGAAGCCGTGCTTATCTCGGTTTTGGAAAAACAGAGTCAGAATGCTGCTATTGCCTCATAAATTGGCTGGAAAAAAAACAGAGTATGAATGCTGCTAGCCATTGCCTCATAAACTTGGCTGGGGGAAGAAAAAAAAAAAACAGGGCAAGAATGCTGCTATTGCCTCGTAAATTTGGCTGAAAGCTAGGCTACCAGCCGGGCCGCCTGGGTCACCTTGTTTTCCCGGGCGGCCCGGCCGTGCGAGGTCCAGGGAAGGTCCCAGCAA